TATAAAATTATATAATTAAATTTTATGTAAAAATCAAATTAAGGCAACGAAATCTTATTAGAGAGAGTATATCAAAAATTGTCCTCAAAATTTTAATCTAGACTAAAGTCTAAAAAATGACAATTTCTTGGACAGAGGAGTATTATTAGTCAATTACTCCCTCCTAGACCAAGTTTTAATTTGAGGTATTTTAATTTAGTTGTCTATTTTTTTGGATCTTATTTAATGTTTTTATTTTTATTTTATCTTTTTTTAACATTTATTGAATAAAAAATCTTATTTGAATAACGATTAATTAAGAATAAATATAAAATTTTCTTTAATATTTTATTAAAAAAACTAGATTTATTAAAATTGAATGGATATGGAGTAAAAAAATAAAGATACAGTAAATGCCTATCTTTTCATTGCAGAATTAATTAATGTCTTTATTGCATTTAAATGCATGTACTCAAATCATATTAATCTTGACACAAATTGAAAATGAACTTCAATAATATTTTTATAAAAAAAAATATTAATTTATTTTGACTCAATGCTATTAAATTAAATGAAACGATACTAAAATACATGTCTTTTTTTTCACTAGTCATTACATGCTTCTCAAATGTGGTTTATCATAATATATATTACCTCAAAATCATTTAAATTTAAATTTTTATTTTTATAAGCCAAAAGGAATGAATTTTATCAAGGGACAAGGGACATTCTCCAACCCCTTTTTCTATCAAAGTTACTCACATAATATCTGCTTTAATTGAATCCTCGCAGGTTTTCGAACTATGGAAAGGCCTCGGTCCCTAATTGTGCAGAATGCAATTGACAAGGGGGATGTTAATGCTGTAATGGACTTTTTAAAGAGAAATCCAGGGGCAGAAGAATTGGCATTATGGACGGGTTATCCTCCTCTTCATCACGCAACTATTGTTGGCAAGTCAAACATCGTCAAGCCATTGCTTGAGAATATGCCTGCAGTGCAAAAGGATCGTTGGGATAATACAGCTCTAGCATGTGCTGCTCAGTTTGGAAACACCGAGAGTGCAAAATATTTAGTTAGTAAGGATTCTTCTTTGCTTTCTATGGTAAATGAAGATGAAGATATCCCGGTAGTAACGGTATGTAGACAAGGGCACAAGGAGATGACAAACTTTCTCTATTCTGAAACCCCATTCGAAATGCTATTATGCGAAAACGGAAAACAAGGATCCAAATTACTTCGTTGGTGTTTTACTTCCAAAAGATTTGGTAAGAGCATGCGAGGTTTAATCACGTAAAATGAAATTTTATACTGTAATTAAACACGTAAAATGACAACTTTTTTCATATATGACTTTAAAATGTGTAGATATCATGTTCGATGTTCTTTACCGTACGGAAATTGGCAAAAATGCTGTGACGCGTCATCAAAGTTTAATTGATGGAAATTGGAAGAATCTTTTGGGTAGATTCGCCCAAACACCAACAGCATTCAGCAGTGGAAGTGGGCTAACATTTTGGCAACGATGGATCTATGCGTGTGAGTATCGTTTATTCTTTCGTTTTAATTACTTCCATCGATTCCCACTTTTGTCTCTTTTATTTCTTTCTTTCATAAATTTGATTGTTTTGCTGGTAATCTCATAAAATAATTGGAGATGGTTTTTTAATAACCAATAATGCTACATGTGAATGCATGCAGCATGCCTTTTTTTTCTTTTTTCTTTATTTCTTTTCCCTTTTATAGTCCAATCGCTTTTCCTAAATGATTAATTTAATCTTAATATTAATTATTGTTGTTAAAAGGTTTAAAGATACACATACCTAACGATTTTGCTGTTGTTACTATTAATCAGGAAGAAAAAAAAATTTGAAGAGATACCATTGTCAGGTATGTTCTCTTTCCTCTCCCTCTATATATAATGAAAAGCAAAATCAACTCTACCCATATACAACCATTATCTATATTTTAATTACCTACATCACCTTATCCCATTGGATGCCATTAAATATATATGGTGTTGTTTCTTATTAAATTAATGTTGTTTCAATATTAATTTGTTAATAAAGAGTCAAGTTATTCACAATATAATATTACTTTGATCCAAAATTTTTTAAAATTATTTAGATATGTTGAAATTTTTCCTTTTTTTTTTTTTGGTTATTAGGTCGACTATGGATATTGGCTTCATTCCTTCTTCCATTCTTAGGTATAACACAATCAAGGTTTTTCTTTTTTATCCAATTGACAATTTTTAAGTTATCTTTTACTTCTATGCTTATGCTTTATTTTTGTTCGTAATTTAGGCATAAAGCAAATACACACTTTAAAGTTGAGTCATTGCTTTGCCCGTGTGAGTCTACATTTGATCTGTCAGCACCTGACAAAATTACCCTTGAGGAAATTTGAAGACACGATTGCACTAAGGAAAGCAGTCACCAGTGCCATTGAGAATGGCATTTATGATTTTTTAATTGAAATCATCGAAACTAATGCAGACGTACTTCTTGCACCGGTTCTAGATTATGAGACTACGAGTGCCAACTTTCTCATGGATGCTATTGCATTTCGTCAGGAGAAAATTGCTCGCTTTCTTATTGGACTCCCCCTTGGCAATGTATTTATCAATGCACCGGATTCATCAAGGGCGAACAATATATTACATGTGACAGGTAAATTGGCTTCTGATTCTCAACTTTCTCACATCTCTGGTGCTGCGCTACAGATGCAAAGAGAGATACAATGGTTCAAGGTACGCAATAAAAATCAATAGTTTTTACTAATCATAAATTATAGTACTTGAAAATTTATACAATGATAGTTCAACCGTATAAAATTCTCTAATGGCTTGTTTGGAACGTAGGATGGGGTTAGATTGGATAAGATTAATGGGAAGGGAATGGATTGGATGGGAAAGGATTAGACAAAATAATAATCAAATCATGCATTTGGAATGTTATAGGATTGGATATAAATGTGTAGGTATATTGACAAAAATACCCTTTAGTGCAATCTATATTTAATATTTTCAATTTTAATTTTTTAATTTTTTTTCAAATGATGAGTTTCTTTCCTACTATTTTTTAAGTAGAATTCCCTTTTATCATCCATAAAAGATAAATCAATATTTTTTTATATTTAAAGATGAATAATTTAAATTATATTAATTCAAACAAACTAATAAAATTAATTTTATTAACCAGCTAGCATAACTATTATCAATTCTATCAAAATTTATGTTTCTATACAAATAAAAAAAATCTATAAATATTTTTAGTGAAAAAAAATTAATTGAATATTTTCATTTTCTTTTCTAAGAAAGCAAACAGTAATTCTTATACCATCGAAATATATTCGTTTTCTTTTTTTTTTTTCTCAAAAACCAAACAACCATATAACAAAAACCCAAATCACACTTCAAGTTAAAATTATTCTCTCACCAAAAAAAAAAAAAGGTTGAAGCTCTTTGTTGCTCCATCTTCTTCAACAAAGTACCGAGTAAGATCGATTGAAGTTGAAATCGATATGATTTTATCTTCCTAGCAAAAGATCTGTGACGCCCATAAAGTCAACTTGCTGGAGCAGACCGAAAGGGGAGAGAAAGCATTGGTAAAAGAGGAGAGTCAGGGGAGAGAATCATCAGTGATAAAAGAGGAGAAGAATCGGCGAGAGAGAAATCATAGATGAGACAGGAGAATCAAGGAACGAGGTCACCGGTGAGAGAGAAGATCGGGCAGAGTAGAGGTCACGGTGTGAGACAATGTGGGGAGAGAGAAGCTCACCGGCGAGGAGAAATGGAGAGAGAGAAAGGTGGAGAAGTAAAAGGGTAGGCTTGGAAATTTAATCTAATCCCACCTTATCCCATGGGAATGTTGGGATTAAATTTATTTCATAAGCATGGGATTGGATAAAAGACCGGATATAATTCATCCCATCCTGAGTGCCCTCCAAAACTTTGGAATTTGGATTAAGTCGGATGGGACACGTTTTTTATCACATCCGACGTTTCATCCGGCGCACCAAACGAGCTGTAAATACCAAGTATTAAGACCTGCAAATTTTCAAAAGTACATTAGGAATTGAGTACTATATATATAGAACACAATAGTAGCTCCACTAAAAACAAAAATGTAATATGCTAAGGAAATCAACATTGGTCATCTTGTCATTGAGATGAACTAGAAGCCAAAAACACTGCCTCACAAAACATTCCTTCGCATCTTCGGAATCTAAGTTCATTTGAGTCTCTTCTGATCCATTGCAGGATTCTTCTTTCTTTTTTGCTTAATTCTTTCTAATGATTAAATTAAATTAGATTTTACTATTATTTTACTTAAGTCATTAATTAAAGCCTTTTTTTTCCTAAAAAAATCCTGTCTATGCTGCTTTATTATATATATACATCTATGTATGTGAATATAGGACTTCACATTTAAATTATTAATTTTAAAAATGCAGGAGGTAGAGAGCCTTGTTAACCAGAGTGATAAAGATGCCAGAAACGGTGACGGTGAAACTGCTTACCAAGTTTTGGCTAGAGAGCACAAGGTCTTGCTTAAGGAAGCAGAGGATTGGATGAAAGGGTTAGCAAATTCGTATATAATTGTTGGCACTCTCATCATCACCGTAATGTTCGCCGCAGCTTTTACCCTTCCTGGGGGTAACGATGAAAATAAGGGATTTCCAGTATTCAAAAACCAAGCAGCATTTTTGATCTACATAATATCCGATGCAATCTCTCTGTTTGCTGCAGCTGCCTCAGTAATAATATTTTTGGGATTTCTCACATCACGTTATAGCATGGAAGATTTCCACAAATCTATTCCCAAGAAGTTGATGGCTGGTCTTTCTACTTTGTTTGTCTCTCTTGCAGCAATGATGATAGCATTTTGCTCGGCTATTTTCCTCATGCTAGAAAACCGATGGTGGATTATCATTCCTTCTGTGTTGCTTGCGGGCATTCCAGTCAGCTTGTTTGCGTGGTTGCAATTTCCTCTGCTTGTTGAGATTTATGTTTTAACTTACAGATCACCAATTTTCAGTGAGAAAATATCCTTGGCAAGCAAAATAAAAGCATTCTTCTTTGGGAAAAAGAAGATTGAGTAGGTCTAAATGAGTCTTTATCTTATGTTTGTCTTTGTTGGTAACGTAGCAACTCTAAGGTCCGTGCTTGGTTGTAAGTGAACATTAAGTTTATTGTCACTTTGTTTTTGTTATGCAATAGAATTCTTCTAGTATTTGCATAATTTTCACAGTTCACATACAAGGAAATTGGTGTTCACATATAGCTAGGATGCTTAGCTTTTGATCTTCAAATGTCAGTATGACAAAATAGGCTAGTAAAGAGGCAACAGAAACCAGAGTCAAGGATGCTGAACAAACAAAAGTACTGAAGAAGGATGGTTCAAAGAAATGGTAGCAAAGTATCCATCACTGATGGTACTACATTTCAAAATTCTGGAGATTAATAAATAGATTAGAAACATTTTAAAGACAACATATGGTCTGATCTACTACAATTTTAGAAACAAAACCAAAATTCCTTAAAAATTAGTCAACTCCTCCAATCATTTGCTATTATGATTATTTAAGCACGCGGCCCACGGTAAAGACTAACTATGTGGCTTGAAGCATCCATCTGCTAACCTTTAACTGATGGAGCAATTCTCCCAGAATGTCCACCTGCTCCTCGCAACTGATTGGACCAATAGCTTCCTCCAGCAGCTTGACCAAAAGCCAATGTTCTTCCACCACCAGCACCATATCCTGTATGCCTGCCACTATCTTGCCTCCTCTGAGCGAAAGACATGTCTTGCCACCTATCGCCAGTAGTTGTCCCATCTGCATAATAATGGTTTTCTCTCTGCCTAATGAGCAGATTCAATCCACCACCACCATCAATCCTTGCCTCTACTACCCTCTCATTACTTTCAGCAAGAACTGAAAGCTTCTCAGTCAATTAGAATGTCGACACCTTGTAGCCTTGCGTGCTCAACATTGTGGTCGGCTGGTCCTAACTTACATGCAATTCTTCATTAATCATCATCTTGCTAGCAATTGATTTTCAACCTCATCTTCATAATCACTCTCCTCTTCCTCAGTGTCACTATCACCCTATTAACAAGAGATTAAACATTACTCACAAAAAAATTTACATTTTACAAAATAAAGAAATGCCTAGAACATCAACCAAAACTTTTTCCACAATCTAAGATGGAACAAAAAACTAAAAAAGATTACTGAGTTAACAAATATAGATTCCCAAACTGGGTCCAGAACCATGATCTCATCTTTTTGTCTAAGATAAAGTAATCAATTCTCACTCTCAGTGATCCAATACCTAAAACAAAAAGATCCTAATATAGAAATAGTATAAAATCCACAAATTTTTCACAAAATCCCAAAGTATATTAATGGGTTTCAATCTAAGAACAGAATTCAAATAATAATATATGATATTGAATGGCTATTGAGAACTCCAAGACCAAAGATAGACCCAAATCCATAGAGAACAGGAAAAATTGCAATCCAAAGCCGATTTTAATAAAAATAGCATCAATTCCTTCCATAAGCTTCCTTCCCGAACTAGAATTCGAGGATCGAAGGTGGAGATGCGTACCTGAGGGAAAAGTGGTGGCTGTAGGGTAGCAGGAAGTTAGGAACACCGCGGACGATGGAAATAGATTTTTGTTTTCAGAGTCCGTTGTCTTCATTTGGGTTGTGTCTGTATTTTCCTGGCCTTACCTTGCTAGGCCTACACTTCTTTTGGGCTTAGTTTCTATTTTTAAGGCCTGATTATTTGTCATGATGGACCGTTTCAGAAAATAATAATTGCTTGACCCACTAGTTCTGGATTTACGCTTAGCATTTGAAGCCCTTTTGCATACACACACTTATGTACATCCCACTGTTAAACAAGTGTATTTTTATAGATTAGCTTTAAAATTTAAGTCTTAGAGTAACATTCAAAGAAATTAATTCTTTTAAATACATCAGGCAATGTGGCAGTGACATGCACAAAGGTTGGCACAAGAACACCATGTGTAAATAAATTAAGAAAAAAAACACACACACACACATAAGTACATAGAATGGTGGGTAAAGGTTAAAATTCTGTTTGGTTTGATTGTTATAATCTGTTTATATGATAGAGGATTATTAATGGTTAATATTTTTGTTATTTATAATTCAAAGAAACCTCTAATGATTGATATTTTTTATTATTATATATAATTTAAATATTATTAGTAGTTAGATAATACTTATCAATTATAATTGGTTTAAAACAATTAAATTAATTAAATGAATCAACAA